ATTGCCAAGAAAACCACATGATAAGTCAGAAATGACTTGAAGCCTCATAACAACAACATAGACACCAACAGGATTCTAGCTGAAGTCTTGAGGTGTGTGTGTAAGGATTTCATAGTGTTAAACTGCTACTAAATAATAGGCAGGAAAAGTGTGTGAAATGTCTTTGGAGAAGAAGAACCCAAGAACGTTGCGCAAGCGAAGGTGCAGGGATGAGAAAGGAATTGCAAGTTGCCAAAGACACTGTGTTCTTGTCATGCTGTCACACATCCCTGACTTGTAGCCAAAGCTGACAGCTTGAGAAATGTCGTTCGCTGGGAGTTTATGTAGCATAAACACACTCTTAAAATGGATGCATACATTTATTGCTTGGATGGGCCCAACAATCCCCAGGATAAAGAAATATTGGGCAGTATTTTAGAGCGTGAGCAAAATGGCGTTTCAGAAGCCTGCAAGATATCATGCGGATTTGTCTACCTACTTTTCTCTGCTCAGTTACGTTTCAGACCATGAATACATCACTGAACAGGGAGAGGATTTCAGACACCTTTTGGAAAAATACAAACCATAATCTTTTCTTCTTCTTTTCCTATATACTACGCGACTCAGAGTTATGAGATGGTCCCATATTTAATAGGGTACTCATTTTCAGACCAATATTTTCTTGAAAGGGATTATTAAAGCATGCTACTACGATAAGGAAAACACACAGACACAGGCACACAATTACTCTTGCATTTAATAGAGCCTGCCAGCCTAAATCCTATTAATAGTTCCATTTAGAGTAGATCCACTGAATGAATGGGATTTACCAATGTGTTGACTCACTATTCAGCAATAGATTCAAGGGCTCTATTTTAGTTTAGGGCTAATCCACAAGTTTTATCCTCACATATTTAAAATTTTTGTTCTGTTTTGTTTCGTGGTAGATTTCCACACATACCCATGTACAGATATGCAGCAGGAGTCACTAGTTTTAAGTCTGAGGGTGTATTTTGTTAATATAGCTATATTCCATTTTATATTGCAAGATTTCAGAGTGGCATACAAAGAACAACAGCAATTTAAAACAGAAGGCAAGATCCTACCTCATGCTTGTGTTCTGCAAATCTACACTCATGTTGTTACACCACCCTTTTGATGAGTGCCAGCATCCTGAAACCAACTTCATATCTAGAAGTTTGCTTCCTTTTTTGCAAGCCCAATGAGTCAACTAGTACTCTGGAGTCATTGGCTGCAATCCAGCATCCCATCAGTGTAGCAAAATAGCCACATGTGCAACCCATATGCAGAATAGCATCATAAAGTAATGGAGTCATAGAGTTGGAAGAGTCTCATGGCCATCTACTCCGACTTCCTGCCCAATGCATTGTGCAACACATGTCAAAGACAGAGTGCCATTGTGGATTACTTGATGCACAAGATGCCATGTGCAATGTACAGTGTGAAACTGCAATGCACACAGCACAACAAGAATGGGACATGCACAGTGCATAAACACAAATCATAGTTTTGCTGCATGCACCAGTCTGTTTCTGCTGCTGTGAGCAGAATATGTAGTTCCCCCCAAATACTTAGCGTAACTTATGCATACATACATCTGTCGCTTGCAGAATGCCAGACACTCTGTGAAATAGATGCGCTTGCAACATTCCATTTATACAAGTGTGAACTAAATATGGATGTTACAAAACAAGAATTCAAAGCCATAGCCGTATTAGTTGGGATCAGTATATGCAAAGGGATCTTGTACCAAATTTAAGACTAAATGTGTGGGAAAAGTTGTAGAATAAGCTTTTGTAGACTTGGCCTACTTCCTTAGACTTATAGAATAAACTGATGGGCAGTCTGATTATAAAGGTTCTTTGTGGGACTCAGTTCACACCATGCATCTGAGGAGAAAACGGCAGACGGCTTAAAAAGC